CTTGCCTTTATATATGGCATTCGAATGTGCTAGAAAATTTCGCCGAAATTTCATCGGAATCAGTAGCATTATTCTCTCTGCTTCTAGAGCGACAGCGAACATTGTGCATTCGTGCTCTCTTAGCTCCGTCGCGTTTGGTTTATGGTTACCAGTAGCGGCCAGTGTTATTTTCTTTCGGGCATGATTTACAACAATATTGAGAATATAATGGTTTTGATTCATCTGATCTGTGGGCAGAAGTTTGGATTCGAAAGATTTCCTCTCCTAACTTTTGAACGGGAGTTGCTATCACAAAATGATAGAACTTAATAATTTCTGATTAAAAACGTGTAGTAATCCGCCATCCAAACGGTGGTATCCAATATGTTTCAGAAAAGTAGAGTGTTACATTTTTTATAACTTTCTCTATCCAACTCCATTTCGGAATTCGGGTCAGTTTTTCCTGAATGTAGTACATATTTAATTTTGAAGTTTTCAAAGAAATCATGAAAATCCTAATTTCAACTTATTTATGGAATTATGTGTAAAATATATCGTTAAAATGTCCGCCAAAGCGGAGCATCCGCTTTGGCGGAGGGGAGCATCCGAAACGTCCAATTTTCAATGATTCTGGAGCAAAAATTAGACCAAATTTGACCAATGTCATGGGTTATGTTGGCTTGGAGACTCGCGTGATTTGTGGCTTATTTGCATACACCTACGACTTGAGAAAACTCACAAGGAAAATTCTAACGGAGTGCCAGTTCACATCAACTCCTAGTGAGATGGCCATATCCTGAAATGCTGTCCTGTTGAAACGACATGTCGTTGGTATCCAGATCATCCAAATCGGCCAAAAATAGTTGGTAATCGATCTATAGCGATGGTCTGGCCAACGTCGTTCCCAAAGAAATATTGACCGATGACGCCGTCACCCCAAAATCTACACTTTTCAGGATGCATTGGACGCTCTTTATTTATCTACAAATGGGCCTCATCGCTTAAAATGATTTTTCGACGAAAATTAAGGTCAGGTGATAACTGCTCCTGGGCCCATTCAGCGGACACACGTCGTTTACCTTCAGTTCCTGGGTCAGTTGAATTTGGTACGGATGCAGGCCCATGTCACGACGCAAATTTTGCCAAGTTGTGGTCTGCGAAATACCAAGTTCTTGTGAGCGACACGAAATCGACTGCACTGCATTCTTCTGCAGACTCTCACAGACAGCGGCGATGTTTTCGGCCGATCTTGCGTTTCGTCGACGTACGGGTGTTGGTAGATCGTTTATTGAATTAGTGAACTGAAATTTATCCACCACACTGCGAATAGTCCTCTCGGTAGGATGATGCCAACTGATTTGACAGATGTAGCTTCTACAGATGGCCGTTATATCATTTTAAATTCTATAAATGAAGAAATCTGTTCAATCGTCGAAAAAATATCGATTTTAGAGTCATGAAAATTCCTTTTGGATGATTGATTTCCATACTCAAAGTGTGAAAAATGTCGATATGTGGACAGAAGTAAGTGATGATCAAATCATTGGTACATATATTTGACACCACGCAAGTGGTGAGTGTGAGTTTTTGAAAATTTTTGCCGTGTCAATGACGAAAAATTACATATTGGAAATCGTAACAAAAATTGGGAAGATATCAGAAAAATATTACAATAAAAAAAGAACGTGTTCCTCAAAAGAATTGGTATAGTACCCTATTTTCGATATCTTTTCAAATATATCAATTTGAGTTCTATCGTAAAATATCTACCAGACATGATTTAGGGAGAAGGTATTTTCCAAACAGAGACGGCACATACTGTCTTCTGGGAGTACAAGTCCCTTCATATGATGATTCGGATGACAGTGACATATTAATAGACCTGTTATATCGTATATCGTAGATCATCCGTTTTCAACTGTAACAATTGTTTGGTGACATACACCGACAGAAGTAGGTGTACATGCTTTGAAATGGACCAATCTTGGTAGGTTCTGCCAGAAATCTGAAACTCCCCTTGCAATTCTGCAAGACCTTAAGGATAGCCGACGAGGAATTCTGTCCAGATGAAACCTTTTGCATTGTTTTTCCTTATTTTTTCTTCATTTTTCAACATTTTTTTTTCACTATTGTCTGTGAATTTCCTAATGATTATTTGCAAAGTTTGAAGCAATAAGGCATGAGGGTTTGCTGGCCAAACTTCGGTGCTATGACTCATCTGACCATTTTTGTGTATGGCTCTTCTGCTCCCTGAAGGTGGCCGTGGAAGGATATTTCTCGAATACATTCACCATCAACGCTGGGGTTCCCCGGGCCATCCAACCCTCTTTTTATTGTATATCAATGACTTATTGGAAAAAAAACAAGAATCCAATATATTGCTTTGCTGACGACAGAACACTTGTCTTGAAATTCCATTTGGATTCCAGGACATCGGCTACAGAGGCACATCTTCATAGGCATCAGGAGGTTGCATATCCTGATGAGGATCTATAAGTTATTTCGAATTGGAGGGAAAGTATCCAGGTTCAATTCAATGCCACAAAAACTCAGGCATCAATTTTCTTCAAAAAGATAAATGCCTCCGAACCGGATATAATAATGTCAAGTCAGATAATTTCGTTTTCTGTTTCGATAAGTTTGTTGGGGTTTAAAATTGATACCAATATGTCTTCGCACAATCATGTCCCTGGAATTGCAAAGGCTGCTTCTCAAAAGCTTGGAACACTGTTTCGAACCAGAAAACTGTACACACCTCAGTAACTTTTGATGCTTTATAAATGAATGAATGAATGAATGAAAGTTTATTGACTACCTTACATTACATAATGTTTGTAGTGAGTCCAAATGATATCTAAAAAGAGTACAACACATAGAGAAACAAGATAAGATAAAATAAAATTTTAAAATATAGTACACTACTACTAGCTATTGTAAAGTGTCGCAGTGGCGAGTGCATTCCATAGAAATACACTAGCGATGTCGAAAATGCTCCATGAAATCACTGACAGAATAAAAACAATTAGTTAGTAAAAATTCTTTTAAGCGCTTCTTGAATGTATTGTACTCACCACCTTCAGAACAGCTTGCGACGTTGATCTCTCTCTTCTGAATCCGAATTGTGAGTCGGTAAAAAACCTGTTATGTTTTATGAAGAGGTAAGACTTTCGATATTTTGAAAGCATCCGGGTAGGTAGCGGACAAAAAAATCAGATTTATGAGGGAGATGATATGCTTTACAATTAAACCAGCTACTTCCTTGACGACGAAGCTGTTTAGTTCGTAAGAATCCAAGCAACCTGAGTTGTTTACACTATTTATGGTATTTAGAACTTCATGTTCTGTGATCGGAGATAGAAAGAATGAACTGTTTGGGGTAGGAAAATTACGATAGTTTAAGAGTTCCGTGTTGCAGGAATAGACTTTATTATGTTTGCGGCAATTTCAACAAGAAATTCATTGAAAGTCTCAGCAGATAAGGAGTCATCTTGGAGGTTGCTTGCATTTTTATTTTTATTTCTTTCGAAATTTACAATTTTCCATGACGCTTTACACTTATTCTTAGCTGACGAAATGAAATTGTCATAAGCTAATCTTTTGCTGTTTTTTAATTGTTTATTATAGTCTTTCTTGAAACTCCTGAAGACAGCAATGTCGACAGGTAAAGCTCAGATCAGACATTCCTTGGAGTATTGTTCTCATGTATGTAGCTCTGCCCCCAAATATACCCTGAAATTGCTGGATTTCATCCAGAAAAGAAGCATCCGCCTGATTGGAAACATCACGTGCAACCTTGATAGCCTGGAACATCAAAGAGAGGTTGGGGATTTGTCTCTATTCTACAGATACTTTTACGGGAAGTGTTCAAGTGACTTGCCATATTTGGTTCCACCAAGAGCGGTACATATCAGAAATACGCGACGGACTGTGGCTGCTCATCGTTTTGAGATTCAACTCAGTACACCTCGAACTCTACTGTTTGAGAACTCTTTCATCTGGATAACGTCCTGAGAATGTTTTTCCAACAGAATTTCATCTCCAGCGATTCAAATCCAATGTGTATCGCTACTTTCGCAATGGCACCGATCTGAGAGCGCCATAAGGTTTTTCCAGCAGTGCTTGTGTTTTGTTCTTGGAAAAAATAAACGTCTCCAACGAAAATTCACAAAGTAATATGCTTCGCAAAATTTGCAAAATTATGAATTTGCACATACTTCAAATGATCAAACATGGTGCACTAGAAATACAACTTTCGAAAAAATAGGAATGTAGACTTTGACGGCTGGCGTTATTGTTTTGGTTGATCTCCGAGTTTTGCCGTGGTCTTCTTTAAAGAATATAACTGGAATTTAATTCCAACAACAAATCGTTATTTTTAACACCTCGACTCGTGTTTCAATCACCAAGTGATCATCTTCAAGAGAAACATTTAATTTTCCTCTTGAAAATGATCCCGTGGTGATTAAAACACGTGTCGAGGTGTTGAAAATAACGGTTTCGTGTTGGGATTGAACTCCAGTTATATTCATTACTGCACCAAAGTTTCCCAACAGAGCATCATTTGTATGTCTCAATTGTGTTCTTGACGTATTTGTTACGTCAATTGGTATGTCTAGAAGAGTACTTCGACCACGCCAATAATACGTCAGTTGATACTTTGATCCTGATATGACCTGTAATGGTTTCTAATTATTTGCGTTCGGCCTGTGAATTCTTCTTTCAGAATCAGACAATACGAGAAATGACTAGTTTGAAGCGATAATGATATCGAAGCCTCCAACAAAAATATCTTTTGTCCTATCTAATATCCATCTAGACAAATATCTTCAGATCATTAATTTTTCGTGTACTACATTGTACCGTTTATAAAAGCAAAAGTTTCGATAATAGCGAGGGGATACATAACTAATAAGAAACGAGAAGCGATACGAAGCAAGTCATTCGTTCAATTTAAAGTTAATAAAGGCATTCCATAGTGGATAAATTGAGTGTAGGGTGAAACGGAAATACTAAATACAAACCTTGCGAGTAGCTCATTGCGAAGCAGGGGCATGTGTCGTGAGGCAGTGAGGGTTGAACCGAAGGACACGCACTCACCTGAAAGAAAACAAATATTTATTAACCTGAACCGTGTCGGAAAATATTTTATATGAGAAAGGGCATGGAGCGCGTTTGGGCGTATATTTTTATCTTCGGGTCCATATGAATAGAACATCTTGAAATCATTTAGAGAACAAGGGAGAAAAAAATTTCATTTTGTTTGATTTGGAAGTTTTTATTCAAGCAGGCGTCATTCGTTTTTTTTATAGCTTTCGCAATGTACATGTTTGTTGAACAGTTGAAAAATTAAAAGATGATTCTTGATATGCATTAGGTGTGATGTTTTGGTTTCTCGAACGTAATATCTTTAATATTTGATAACCATTGAATTTTATAACAAAATTGCGTTTTTTGAAAAACTTTGGCAGGAAGATTGGTCACCTTCAGCCTCTTCCTAAAAAGGACAAGAAAAATCTTTCAAATAAATATAGACCAATCGCTTTGCTATCAGTGATATCAACAATCATGGAGGAATGCGTAAACCATCATATCCTTGAATATTTGGAAGGCTTCAACATCTTGAGCGATCATCAATATGGCTTTCGAAAACAAAGTCAACAGGCGACTTTTTATGATTACTCACTCATATTTGGAATAACGCAATTGAGAAACATAGAGGGTCAAGAGCGGTTGTGCTTGATATTTCTAAGGCCTTTGACCGTGTGTGGCATGAGGGTTTGCTGGCCAAACTTCGAAGCTATAGTTTGTCGGATCATTTTTGTGTATGGCTCTCCAGCTTCTTGAAAGAACGTTTCCTGCAATGGATATGGCGATGGATATCTCTCGAAGACTTTTACCATCAACGCTGGTATTCCCTAAGGATCCACATTATTGTATGATTTTCACTATAAAGGTTTTTACAAAAACCGCGATACGTGTTTCGCTATACAATAGCACTGGTTTAGAAGGAAATTCAAAGAAGCCGCATACATGTTGTCCAACTATGTATTCAGCCAAGCTAGCGTAGGGATACGAAAGAGTGTGTATGAAAGAGCCAGGCTTTGAAAGAGCCGATGTGATTTTCTACCACTAACCAAAATCCTACCATAATTTAATTTTAATGTTTGTATGGCAACATTGAATAGCTGTCACCACAAACATTTGACAGTTATGCAGAACGAATGGTGTCTGTAGACCACATCAAAAATTTTAGGACCAAAAAGTGAGTTTTTTGCGTTGACCCAATATGTTTTACAAAGAAAAGTGCAGCGTAAATTGATAAAATTGATATATTGTATTGTTACGCATATATTCAGCATTATTTTACGATGATATTGATGTCATAATGTTTACGCGAAATAGCTGTATTTTGGGGATACATCTCAAATGACAAAATGTTTTAAAAGAGCCACACTTGGAGGCTTTGAAAGAGCCGGCTCTTTCATGGCAGTAAAACTGGCTCTTTCAATACACTAAAAAATTCAAGTTTTAAATTAGAGATGCCAATTTAGCAGCTTTTAGCCTACCAAATGTAACTCAAGGATTCATCAAAACTGGCATATATCCCTTAAAGTCCAACATATTTTCTGACGATGCATTCCTTGCATCATATGTGATCGACATATCTAATCCAGCTTCAGAAAAAAATAAAACTAGGAAAAAAAGAAGAAAAATAAACCTAGAAAAGTAGGTGTTACGAAAATGTCAGCAAAACAGAGTATAAAATGATTGGGCACATGAGTCTTGTGGCATTAAAGGTGTTACAAATTTGTTTTGCCAAAAATGTTTCTAGTTACTCACTCCATAAGGAGACTGATTTAAAACAAAATTATAATTGTATCAAGATGATTAAGAATATTGTGAGATTATGATTTGAAACTGATGAATAACTGTGATTTTCATAGAAATAAGCAACGTTCAACTTTGATTAGGTTTTTATAAGACATGAATAGTTTATTAAGAGATTGTTGTTGCTAAAATACTGTTTTTTTTTGTAAAGAGAAGCCATGTGGCATTACAATGTTTCTACTTGATCAATTATTTTATAATGGAGACTGATTATTAAATAATATACATTATATTGCTTGAGATTGTTGAAAAATTGTGATTCAAGACTGATAACTGATTTTCACAGAAATGAAAAATTTTACATTTTCATAAGATTTATATACTTAACAGATAAATAGTTTAAGAAATTTGTATTTGCTGAAAGACTGTTCTTTTTTGTAAAGAGGAACCTGGCTCTTTCATAGCACATGCCCAGCTCTTTCATACACATGTTGCTTTGAAAGAGCCGATTCTTCTTTTTTTGTAAAAGTTGCCATTTTACTAGTTTCTGTCATTGTATCTCATTTCATTTTCATTGGATAATCATGGCTATTAAACTAATTATTTAAAAAGCAACTTTATTCCATAACCATCACCTGACGTTTTTTTGATGTTTTTCAAAACTGACTCCTTTATACACACTTTCCTCCAAACAACATATGGAAATCCATAATCAAGCTAAAAATGGCCAACTCCCTGCAAAAGGTCATCTCCCGCTAAACCAATGAAACGGAAAGAGGAGATAAGTGAAAGTACTAAAATGACCCAAAATAGTGATCTCTCGGAGATGACTATTTTGAGAAATCAGTCCAGTTATCAGCCGAAGACGATTGTGGATACTAATAATCGAAACGTCGTGAAGTAACTTGGTTTGGAATCTCTTAATTTTAACTTTTTGTTTAATTGTTTAATTTTTTTACTTGTACTTTATTTCACTGTGATTTGATTTCAGGGTTTTTTTTGCCTAATATAATTTTCACTTTCAGCTCTTCTTTCAAATTTGTATTGCTTCATTTAGGAAGTCCGAACTAATGAAATTCATACCGACGCCGTTATGCGTTACGTTACCAAGCAGTTTTCCCTCCTATAGAAAGTTACTATTTCAAAAGTTCAATATAGCCGATATTCAGAAAACCTTGAAAAGCATTCAATTATGCTCACATTAACCTTGTCATTGTTCAATAACTCATTTCAGTTGAAAAATGGCTGATCATGTTTTACGTTCGATTGATTTTTTCAATTAACTCCTCCATCAGACCAACACCTTTTCGAATCGCTTTTTCTTCTCATGAAAGAAGGGAGAGATACGAAAAATCAAACGAAATGAAACAATTTCAATTATAATTCTGCAAAAAAGCTACAGAATTGTCATTCTGCAGGAATCAGAAAGCAAACCAGAAATGGAAATTAATTAATTTGAGAAGTTTTTGCAAACTTGTTGAGGATAAATACCAATGAAATTGGGTTATGGTCTAAAAGCGGGCGGCTGCCTTTCCACAGCATTAGGGAAAGTTATAAATTCCGGTGTGTGCCAGCGAAATGGGGACTAACTTGTAAATGAATTATAACGTCAGGAGTGTAATTCATTCTGACACTGACAGCATAGATAATGCGGGTCCGAAGTGAACGATGCGGCGTTTGTGTCATTACCATCCGCATGCATGCATTTTTTATTCGCGTGTAATTATGACCGAATTAAAATGACACATGACTTATGCGGATTTTATTCATATTAGGGCACATTTCGGTATTCCAATGATGCAGGCGCTTTTTCCGGCCCGAAAACATTGTTTGATAGAATATTTGAATGGATTTCCATTGCCATTCATCAATATTTGCGAGTCGGTTGGAAATTGATTATCTCAGTTTGAAAATGATGAATTTTCGGGTGACAGACGAAACTAATTTACTACTTTTTAACGGATATGTACACGCAGAAACAGTTCTGTTGGTATTTGTCATGAGCGAGGTTGAATGAAAGATACACATTTTTTGATGGACATCGATTGTATTACCCAATGAGGTCTTGCTTGCGTCTACTCAACAGTGATTCTGGTTGATGATGATATTGCCGTAACTGGCGAGAAAATCCAGACCATCTTCAAAGCAGCCAATGTTGACGTAGAACCATACTGGCCTGTTCTTTTTGCAAATGCGCTAGAAGAAATCAACGTCAGGGAATTGATCACCAACATTGGGTCTGGAGTAGGAAGTGTACCCTCAGCAGGAGGTGCTGCAGCTGCAGCTGCTGCTGCTGCTGAGCCTGCCAAGGAGGAAAAGAAGAAGGAAGATGAACCTGAAGAGTCTGATGATGATATGGGTCTTGGAGTCTTCGATTAGAGTACAAGTTTTTTGACTTTGTGAACTATGTGATAGATATTTTGAAACAACTTTGTTAAGAGATTCTCACATGAAATTTTCTAAACACTCTGAAAGCATACTTGAAAGCTTAATAGCATTGTTGCGGTGCTATGTGATTGCATCTTATTAATTATGATGTTCATGACGTAACGCATTAATTCATCATGAACCAAATAAACAATATCGAGTACCAACCTTCGAGTATTGAGTTCCAATTGATATAATAATAATAATAATATTTATTGGCAAAGATACATTGTTCAATGATACAAATTGTACGAGTCAATTTCCAAATAAATATAGAATTCCCACAGAAGGATATACCTGTGCGTGGGGTCTGCAGAAATTTGAATACTAATGAATACAATTTAAAATTTGAATACTAATGAATACAATTCAAAATTTGAAATATAAAGTGGTATGAGTAAATAAATAAAAGGTAAGACGTTTTAAGATTATCAGACATATTATTTTAATTATATCATCAATCTTCTTGTTTGAATATGTGAATCAGTATCTATGCATGTTAGTATGATAGTAAACATTTTTCATATCAACGTGTTGGTGTATCTGAAGCCTTGGCAAGCCTAAGACCCAGGTTTTGAGTTTATTCTTAAATGAATTATCACTCCTGATATTTTTTATATGATGTGGGACGAGATTATATAACCGAGGAGCTAGGTATGAGTAGGACCTTTGAAGGATGTTTTTCCTTGAATTCGGGACATATGCATTATTTTTTTGTCGAGTTTCATATTGGTGTTCTATTATCCTTAATTCATGTCTATTATTATGTTGTCTTATTATAGTTTTGAGAAAGTAGAGTTGTCTTATGTCTAGAATTGATGTTTCT